TGAGATAGTTGGGATATCTCTTTATAGGCTTTGTTTTATGATTTGAGTGCTGCTGTATTTTAGTTTTCATTTTGGCTGCTGTCATGTTATATTATAATGTTTAGCCCTGTTTTGCAGTCTTAGTTGATATGCTGGTTAGACTAGTAAACAACTTTTTTCTCTTTGTCAAAAGGTTTGCAAGGATCTCTCAATATAGGAGGATATATATTATTCTCTTTTCTTTTTATCTTACACAGTAGTGCACTTAAAAGACTTTTATAGACTTGTCTCTCTTACACTAGCACATGTTCTCTTACACTAACAGTGTGTTTCTGGAATGCTATAATATTGTTGTTTTGTTGATCGATACAGGTTAGTGACATGAGGAGCACTCTGTGATTACCATGTTATTTCTTCAACGGTTCTTCTATTCTATGTGTACTCTTTTATTATTATTTAACTAGTTTTGTTGCCTCAGTTCTTTATTTGATCCATTTTGTCATGTTTTAGGTATGTTATTAAACTCTTAATCATTTTTTTAACCTCATAAAGATCAATTTGTGATTATCATGATTAAAATCTTGAGTTTAAGTTTGAAATAACATTGAAATAAGAAGCCACTTTCTGTTATGTGTAAAATTTTGTTCAATCACTTGTGTCTTTATTTCAGTTAAGGCATGTGTTATGTTTTTTGATTCCTCATAATATTTTTTTTCATCCAAAAGAATATTTATATGTTTTCAATTCAGGATCATAACTATTTGTATGTAGGTGTGCTTGAATCATGGGATAAGGTTTTGCATTTCAAGGAAGCCATATAAGTCACAGGAAGACCTGAAAGCTGCATTCAAACACCTTATTCGGTTGGAAGTGGGCTTCGAGGACCATTGATATAGGATATATCTTAGGATTGTAATGAGTTTTTGGAATTTGTTACATTGGTCTTTTACTAATAATAATATATATTGTTTTTCGTGCAACAATTTCTCATTGGAAATCTTTTATATATTTCTTTTACAAAATATTTGTACATTCCGACGACTTTTTACTCTTGATAATTGCTATAAATGTCGTCAGAAAAACAATTTTTTCGACGCACTTCCATGTTGGAAATGCACAATTCCGACAAATTATATTCATCACAAATAGTAATTTAGGGTCGGAAATATTATTTACGGCAAATAGTCATTGGTCGAAAATATATTGTTGCAAAACAAAAGATCTCGATAAATAATTATTTCCGACAGTTGCATAATTATTTGCGACCAGAGTTATGGTTGGAAATGAATTTGTATCATTGTTTTGAAAATGCATTTTCGACAGAAATATAAGCAATATCGATGAAATATGGGCGTCGAAAAATACATTATTTCCGACGGAGTGGTTGGAAAAAAACTATTTGCAACCAGCGTTTTTTCGACGACTTCCGACGGCAATTTGCCGTCAAAAAAGGATATTTTCGACTACAAAACACCTTTTCTGACCATAAATCACCATCGCTAAAGGCATTCTTTTTTGTAGTGCATTCTCCCGAATATTATGGAAGGTCTCTGTATTCGCATGGCTAACTTTGATAGTTACATTATGTTCTATTAATAGGTTTGATGATCTCTCTCTCTCTCAGCATCTGGTCTCATTTTCTTTTCATTCATCTCTTTCTTTTTCTTTCTTTTTCCCTCTCCCTAGTCTGTTTGTTGTTTCTTTTTCCTTATGTTCTATGAGAAGTTGTCGTTTTCTGTAAGCCACAACAATGAGTATGGGAACCGTCACTGGGCCCTACACCGAAGAATTTTTGGTGTGCCAATCTATCCACAAAATATGCCCCAAAAGTTTATGGCATGACATCCACATTTTTGATTATGCCTTGCCTGTTCTACTGGTCCAGACCATTCTAATTTTCTTTGTTTCAAGATTTATCTACTTTGTATTGAGGCCTGTTCAACAAAGTATGATGATGGCACAACTTTTGGTGAGCTCTTCCCGCTCTCTCTCTCTCTCTCTCTCTCAACCAATAGTATACACCAACATGTATTGCATGACAAAATTTATCAATGGGGGTCAAACCGAGGGTCAAATTGCTTAAATCAAAGGAGAACGAGAAAGATAGGAAAGACGCCAAGTCAAGCCATGCACTACTATCATGCATTCAAGTTTGAGTGAATTTCATTTAGTTCTTAATGTTTCAATTTGATCAGTTTATACCCTATTGTTTGCACATTGTGGCAATGTTAATTGTTAACCTCTGTTTAAATGGTGGTCACCGATCTATCTTACTTAAATTAGAATTTAAATGCAGTGTGGATATTGCTACAATGTGTAAATGTAAGAGTAAATTGATCAAATTAAAATATTACAGACCAAAAGTGAAGTTGAGTCAAAATCATATCGATGCAAACTTGTAATTGACTTCATATATTAATTACTTCACAAGTTTCTCATGCTGAGGTAATGCAGGGTAGACAGTTTCATGTAAACTTGCTACAACAGTAAGACAATTGCAAGAAACATAGTCTTCATCTATCTCAATATAGGAATGCCTACAAAGTATGATAGTAGCAATTAACTCTTCCGCCAGATCGATTGCCCAGAAGGCGAATGATTAAACAGTTTTCAGCCTTGTAAATGGATGATTGCGAACTTATCAAAAGCTTGAGGCTGTTTTGCTAATCCTCTTTTTTAAACTAAGAATACAAGATACCCATTTTACACAACTAGAATGATCCAAATTGCTTTGCCTGCGATTGTTCTTGTTCTTTTTGCTCTGCTGTATATGTCTTGATTGTAGTGATGTGATGATTTACTTCAACCAGGCTGGTATTATAATAGGTCCCACCATTCTAGGGCGGTACGTGACGTTTATGCCTTACTTGTTCCCTCCAGAAGGGAGAGTGACTCTTCAAATATTTGCAAATTTGGGTTTCATGCTTCACTTCTTCATACTAGGAGTTCAGTTGAATGCAAACTTACTGAAAAAGGTAGGAACTAATGCTGCACTAATAGGGAGCCTGGCTTTTGCTATGCCTTATGTTATTGGTGGCTTGTCCTACTTGACCATGCGCTCCCTAATGCCTATGGACCAGACATTAAGAACTGGCCTTGTAGTGGTAGTGACAGCGAATTCCCTTTCTTCCTTTCCTGTTATTATCAGCCTCCTTTCTGAGTTAAATATTCTCAATTCGGAACTGGGACGCTTAGCCATCTACACCTCGATGGTCAGTGATTTGTGCTGCGTGTGTATGGCTACAACTTTGACAACAGTTGGTGCGCTCCGCGAACACTCCAAATGGAATTCGTTATCATCTATGTTCTGGATGGTCTTCTTTGTTTTTGTTGTTCTTTTTGTTTTGCGGCCTTTCATACTATGGTTAACCAAAAAAACCCCAGAAGGACAACAGTTGGAGGAGTTTCACTTCTTTGTCATTCTTGTACTTGTCTTTGGGTGTGCCTTCTGTAGCCAGTATCTTGGCCGGCAACCTGCATTTGGCCCTTTATTGTTGGGCATTGTCTTGCCCGAAGGACCACCGATAGCGACAACCGTGGTAAAGAAGCTCGACACCATCACAAATGGGCTGTTCATTCCCGTTTTCTTTGCGATTAGTGGCTTGACTACAGACTTAATGGCCTTCCGAGGACGGAGAGCTTTGGCCATAACCGAGTTAGTCATCATTATGGGATATGTAGGGAAGTTCGTGGGCACACTTCTGCCTGCACTTTATTTCGGAGTTCCTTTCCGGGATGCTACATCTCTTGCTCTAATCATGTGTTGCAAAGGCATCATCGATGTTGCTATATATAATGCATGGAGGGACGGCAAGGTGATTCGATAACCCCCTGCCCTATCTTGTTCATATTTGTTTCTTCCAATTGGCAAAGTTTGTGGGCTTTTCATTATTTTGCTAATTTATGTACCTGCTTATTCAATCTTGCACAGATCATGGATGACCTTTGCTTTGGCCTTCTCTTAATTACGATGCTGATTGTAACCGGCATTGCCAGAATTATGGTAGGTCGTCTCTACGATCCATCGAGGAGGTACACAGCCTACGGGAGAAGGACCATTCTCAACTCTAGCAACAACAGCAGGCTCCGGATTTTGGTCTGTATCCAAAACGAAGAACATGTCCCGGGCCTCATAAACCTCCTTGAAGCCTCTAATCCCACAAGGTTCAATCCCATTACAGTCTTCGTTCTACAATTGAGTGAACTCACTGGCCATGCAGTCGCTTCGCTTGTTCCCCACTACCATCTGAAGAAAGTTACATCTCAGGCCACCAGTTCTGAACACATTATCAACGCCTTCAACAGATATGAGCAGCGCCAACAAGGGAGTGCTCTGGTGCAGCACTTCAATGCAATTGCGCCGTATTCAAGTATGCATGACGACGTATGCAGTTTGGCACTGGACAAGAGTACCACCATTGTAATCCTTCCTTACCACAAGCAATGGACAATATTTGGATCAGTGGGAGCAACAAACCGTTCCATTAAATATGTCAACGGCAAAATCATGAACAAGGCTCCTTGCTCTGTTGGCTTCCTGATTGACCGCGGCCAACTAGGTGGTAACCCCTCTCTCGTAATAGGGAAGACATTTTATCGTATTGCCTTACTCTTCTTCGGCGGTGTGGATGATTTGGAGGCACTTGCCTATGGCAGACGCATGGCTGAGCATCCGAATATCAGCTTCACACTGGTTCGATTCAAACACGAAACAGTGCACACCAAAAAGGGGGAGATTAATCCTGAACACGAACTGTTACGTGAGTACACGATCAGTGCAGCAATGAGCAAGGAGAAAAACCAGTACAGAGAGGAGACTGTGAAAGACGGGTCTGAAACTACGCAGATAATACGTTCTATGGAGGATGGTTTTGATTTGGTGATTGTGGGTTGCCACCATGATCCAGAGTCACCACTTTTATCAGGCCTAATGAATGCAGATTGGGTGGAGTGCCCTGAGCTTGGGGTCATCGGAGACACTCTAGCCGCTACAGATTTTACATTTTCAGTTTTGGTGGTGCAGCAACAGCCACCAACATCCACTTGCAGCAGATCAGTACAATCGCGTGTCTTTCCTGCTTCCTTTGATGATGAAGGAGATTGTCCACCACCTCACTCTACAAATCCAATAAGTAGTGATGAGTCAAAAAGATGCCCAGTCTAGCATGTCCTTCACTTTCAGAGTAGTGTTTTTCTGTAGAAATAGGAGGTCTGCTTTTGTTTTTATCAAACAAAGTGTATATTGTTTTAGCACCAAGAGTTCTTCTATGTACAGGATGATGAAGAAGAGACACGTGAGAAAATCTTATTTATACTCAATTTTCTTAAGTTTCTGATTCCATTTATTGACAGACATAGTCAATTGTTTAGGGTGTAAAAGGTTTTATTCTCAGATTCGTTAATCGCTCCGATTTTAGGTTTTAAGTGAACACAATGGAAATGACATCTTTCTACAACATGGTGGACTTTTGATAGTTATAGAAATCCAAATCGAGATAATTATGAAGTTAAAGTTTGTCACAAATGCCTCCATCTTAGACTTTTTTTCCATTAGTAAGACCTCGACCTCCTCTAATAAACTTAACAGAAAATGCAGTCTTTCATATGAACCTAAATTAGATTTCCTATCAAAAGCAGACATTCAAACTTAATATGTGTTTGAAGGCGGAGAATAAACTTATAATTTACACAAAATTCAGGATTTATGGAATGCCATATAATGTGGATTTTTCTATAAAAATTATGTAAGTTTACGAATGAAAATAACCGTACGTTACGACGTGATTCATTTTTCGAGTTCTAGAATGTCTCTTTTCTTGGACAGTCTCTACATCAAAATAATTTTGGCCAACTCATTCTTTCTGTGTAACCCATTTTCTCTAGAAAACCAATGCCATTCTTTCTGTATAACCTTTTTCTCTAGAAAACCAATGCCAGTCAGTTAACCTTAATGAATCTGACAAATAAATTATTGTAGAGTACTGGAATACAGTCATGTGGCATAGAAAATAATTTAAACAAAGCATTCAAACACAAACAAATTATCAGCTACTTAATCAGACTTTTTTTTTATCAACTCAGACTGTTTTCATAATATTTGTACCAAACCCAATAACAAGAGCCTGCATAACTGACTTCGGTTGCCTTGGAAAATTCCGTTTATCTACTTATCTGTCACATTATACCCTTTGAATGTAAACGAACTTCGGTTTCTAGAAATTCAAAGTCTATGCTGGAAGGTTAATAAACCACATTACTGTTACATATGCCTTACACATTTTCTCAAGGCAACACATTTTTATATATTGGGTTTAACTTTGCAGAAGGGAAAACAAAACTTACATCGCCACCTTTGCCTTTTTTTAGCGCCCCCTTTGTTTTTTTTTATATAAAGAGAGAGAGAGAGAGAGAGAGAGAGAGAGAGAGAGGAGGCTGCCAGGCACGAAACCATGGCGTCGGGCAACCTAACTTTAACTCTCAAGAACATGACTCAGTGTGTTGAGTTCCCTCCTCACATACATTCGGCGGGCATTTTCAGCTACAAAACATCTGCCGGGATACCGTATACCCTTCCTAATCTGGAGATGCAGATGGTCTTAATCTTTTTCATGACACAAGCCTTTTATTTCGTTTTGAGATATTTCGGAGTTCCAAGATTCAGCACCCAAGTTATTGTACGTGCTTCTTTCTCTCTCTCTCTCTTATTTTAAAAGAATTATTGTTTGTATTATGTTTACTGACCACAAATTATTGTACGTTGTTAAATGACTTTTTGAGTTCCATTGTCATGAACCAGTTATTCTTTTGTCCTTGGATTATTTAATTGTATTGTCACTGAATCAATGAGATGATTTCTTGTTGAGCAGACAGGCATAATCCTCGGCCCTACACTGCTTGGACACTTCAAATTTTTCGGGGAATACCTGTTTAATGTAAACAGTCAAGAAATACTTGGTGTGCTCGCTGAGTTTGGTTATGGATTCTTTATGTTTGTCATTGGGGTGAAAATGGATTTGGGAATGATCAACAGGACAGGGCAAAAGGCATTGTGCCTCGGTGTGGCATGCGTTGTGGCGCCTTTGGTAGTCGGTATGCTTGTTCAAACCAAGCTCACCTCTTCTTTCTTCAACCTGACCGAACAAGAAATGTTCAGGCTTCCATTTGTGAATGTGATAAATTGTATGACTCCGTTTCCAGTTGTTGCTCTTCTCCTTGAGGAGCTGAAGATCTTGAATTCGGAGATCGGGAGATTAGGCATGTCTGCAGCACTGGTCAGTGACATATTTAGTGGGTTCCTGCAATTTGTGGGCAAAATGGTTAAAATGATAAAAGAGAGTAGTAGAGAGGATACTATAACAATGGTAGGGGCAAGCATTGGCTATATCATCGTTGTTGTGGCCTTACTCAGACCGGCAATGTATTGGGTGATCAAGCAGACTCCAGAAAACAGGCCTGTCAAGAAAACCTATGTCAACATCATCATCATGCTTATGCTTACATCGGGGGTGCTTTCGCATATGTATGGTCAAGGTTTTCATTTTGGTCCTTTTATATTTGGTTTGGCTGTCCCAGCCGGACCACCATTGGGATCAGCTATTGAAGAGAAGCTCAATTTGTTCGTTTCGGATGTGCTTCTGCCCATCTTCGTGACTGCATGTTCCATGAGGACAGATTTTTGGTCACTGAAATATTTAAGCACCGACTCTTACACCCAAGTCAATGGAATCCTCTTTGTCGTCGTTCTTGTGACCAAATTCTTTGCCTCCATTGTTCCTCCATTGTATTGCCGCATGCCCTTCGGTGATGCATTGGCAATTGCTCTCATTTTGAGTTGCAAAGGCATCGTCAACCTTTCCGCCTATACTGACTACAGAGACAATCTGGTACCTTCTCCTTTCTCTATCGAAAATTTTAGTGACTGTCTCTAAAACTTAGTAAAAGAGTAATTCATGCTAGAAGAACGTATTCTCTGATCACATTGCATTAGCTAACCACTTTCTTATTAACAACTGTCTCTAATTTTTTTTTTCTTAAACAGACCATCTCAGATCCATCTTTTGCTTTGGCAATCACTAGCGTTTTAGTGACTGCAACTTTTGTACCGATTGCGGTGAAGTACCTCTATGATCCTTCAAGGAAATATGCAGGCTACCAGAGAAGGAATATGATGCATTTGAAACCCAATGCTGAGCTCAAAATTCTTTCATGCATTCATAGGTCAGCCAACATGCCTGCAGTCATCAATCTACTTGATGCAGCATGTCCATCTAAAGAGAACCCCATTGCTGTCTATGTTCTTCACCTCATTGAATTAGTTGGCAGAGCCTCCCCTGTTTTTATCTCCCATCAAATGCAGAGAAAATCTTCTTCCAATGTTTCATACTCAGACAATGTCATTCTCTACTTCAATCACTTTGTTAGAGAAAATCTAGGGGCTGTATCTCTAAGCACCTTCACATCAATCTCTGCCCCAAAATACATGCATGAAGACATATGCACCGTTGCATTGGACAAGCTTGTGTCCCTAATCGTGCTCCCATTTCACCGGAGATGGTCTGTTGACGGTTCTGTGGAGTCAGAAGACAACAACACCAGGATCCTAAATTGTAGTGTCCTAGATAGAGCCCCATGCTCTGTTGGAATCCTTGTTGACCGCGGCCATTTAGGCCAGTCCTCCATTGTAGCACCTGGGTCATCCTTCTCTGTGGCTATAATCTTCTTGGGAGGTAAAGATGATAGGGAGGCACTAGCATTTGTGAAAAGAATGACCAACGACTCGACGATTAGCCTAACTGTGATCCGGCTTGTTGCCTCGGCTGATGAAGTTGATGGTTCGAAATGGGATAATGTACTTGATGCAGAGGAATTAAAGGGTTTTCGATATAATGATGTGCGGGAGGGGTTTGTGATATACTTGGAGGAAGTTGTAGAAGATGGACCTCAGACGGCTTTATTTCTTCGGTCTATTGTGGATGACTATGACCTAATTATAGTAGGGAGAAGGTTTAATGTGAATTCTCCTCAGACATCAGGGCTTTCAGAATGGAGTGAATTTCCAGAGCTAGGGACTATAGGGGACTTGCTTGCCTCACCAGATATCACTTGCAGAGCTTCTATTCTAGTGGTACAGCAGCAAAAGATGGTGACACAATAACATGGCTGCCTGCCCCTGCCTGGCTTAAGTTCAAGACTTAATTTATTAAGTATTTTAGCCTCACTGCCCAAGTACAAAGATGTTCATCACCATGAGGATGATTATGTGAGCGCTTGAATCCTTAGCATTTAGGAAAAATTTCGTTGACATTCTTTTTTCATGTATCAAGACTAAGAAATGTTCTCTCCTATTGACCTGATTTATTTGCATCAAATTTCTAAGTTTCAAAGCTTTCAAAAAGAGAAAATATGAAGGCAATATGACAGTTCAGAACAGAGAAAAAAGCCTATGGATGATATTATCTCTAAATACTATAAGGACGAACGAATTCAAAATGTAAAAATTGTTTAAGAGAAGTGATCCATAGCCATAGCACCTTCGCCTTGGTCCCAGGCTAGATGATGGCGGTGGTTTCGGGTGTATCTTCTGAAAACATGGGGGTTTTTCTCTTTTTTTTTTCTTCCACTTTTACACGATGGGTGGGTTCAAGACTTACAAAGTCTGTCTCCAGTTTTTTCACGTTCATTCTTTCGCGTTTTTTTTGTTGTTGAGGAAAATAGAAGTTCATCGAATCAGACAGGGCAATTACAGAAATTGTACATCAAGGAGGGTATTTTGGAAGGTACTAAGGGAAAAAAGGAATGTGAAGCGGATCAATTACTCCTCCTAGTTGATCTGATTCCTGATTTTGAGTGGATGTGATTATGGATGAGGTAGGGCCTGCATATATATATTTTTTGGGTAAATACCACGAGCTGTCCCCACACTTGAAGGATGAGATTAATCCCAACTCGAGGTTCGACTTGCCATTGGCCACAAAGTGCTTCCAACGAGTTTTGAATCCTTACTATTGAGGCACCAGGTAGATGTGGAAATTTGAATATAATATTTAAAGAGAATATTCTGGTGCCTAGGCGCTAAGCGGGGTTTTTTTTTTGGTAACCTCATTTAGCAAGTATAGCCGTGCGGCTATACTTAAGTCCTTTTATAATTTTTTTTTAAAAAAAAATCCCTGATTTTCTTTTATCTATGGGAATAGTTTAGAGAATTGTCCATTACTGTTAGGTAATTACCTGAGTTTCGATTGTCTAATTTTAATTTTTTTACTTTTTCACAGTTATTACCTATATAAAGAATTTAGCATTTTGGGGTTTAATACTTGTATTAAACATGTACATACGTATTATTTTTATTCAATAATATGTGAAAATTATGTGTATAATACGTGAATTTTGTTTGTATTATTGAAAATTTTGTAAAAAACCATGTGCATTAAACATTACAAACACGTACGTATGTGTACAATATGTGTATTGTGTGTTTGCTTTTAAAAAAACATTTACTTTACGAAGTCTTTAAAACCTGTATGGAAAATAGAAGTATTATTGAAAAATACATATTTAAAAAATTATATATTGGCCAAACTTTTCAGTTGTAACTTCCCATAATTTTGCTGACTAAAGCACGTACGTATTTTTTTTCATATTTTTTTCGTTACGTATTTTACTAAATGTGAGAGGCTAAGATTATTTCTTACTTGTAAAAAAAATGCAAGATGATGATTTTGCAATATCATTTCCAACTAGAAAAACAATTTCAAACAAAGATTTATGGGTATAATAGTAAGAGATGGTAGTATTCTTCATGTAAAGTGAAGCAATTATCAAGACCACTCCAACTCATGATGCAATTCTCTACGACAAAGAATGTGTACGCAGTAACAAAATTTAGTAGCACTCGAGAGAACGAGGTAGATCAAAGGCAAACATTCCCACGGAAAGAATATAAAAAATTGAATTCTCATATTGAAGATAGATTTGTAGATGGAAAGAGGCGGTGGAATTATGCTTGGGAAAAGAGAAAATTTGGGCGCCTAATCGCTAGGCAAGTCCCTTTTTTATTTTTATTTTTTTAAGAAATAGTATGGTTGTGTGCCTATACTTTTTAAATTTAATACTTAAAGAGAATATCCGGGCCCCTAGGCGCTAAGAGAATCCCTTTAAAATAAATAAATAGTATCGCCGCGTGGCTATACTTAGGGGGGTTCTTTTTTTAAAAAATAAAATAAATAAATAGTATTGCCTCGCGGCTATACTATTTGAATTTAATATTTAAAGAGAATATTTGGGCGCCTAGGCCCTAAGTGGGGTTTTTTAATATATAGTAT